AGAGCATTTTATGGAGATCTATACAAGGAGGTTGCTCCGTGGATACCTACTCTTGACAGATTCAATAACAGCAAGCTGAGCAGGTAAGACTTCTTTTTTGGATAGGCTTTATATGAATAGGAAATCATGATGCTATTAAGAGTCGTAAGGGGAACAATGCTCTAGGTTTAGATGGTTTTAATATGAGTTTGTTTAAACAATTCTGAGAGCTTTTGAAAGGTGCTCTAATGGTTCTTTTTTTTTCTTTGATGAGTTTCACTTTTCAGATATGTAGAGCTTAAATTCTACTTTTGTGGTCTTCATTTTAAAGATTTGGCATGTATCTAATCTCAAGGAATTCGCCTATTAGTATTGTAAGTGGGGTGAACAAGATTGTCGCTAAAGCTCTAGCGAGAAGGTTGGCTAGAGTGGTTGGTAGTGTGGTGTGGTAATATCAACATGCTTTTTTAAGGAGTGGACAAATCCTTGACTCTCTTATAGCTAGTGGTTGGTAGTGTTGTGGATAGTCTTTTGAAACAAAGAAAATGGGGTCTCTTGTGTAAGCTGTATGTGGAAAAGAGATATGACTGTTTCTTGAAGTTTTTTATGCTATATGATTGGAAGATAGGGTTTTGGGCAAAAGTTGCATGATTAGATGAAGGCTTGAATTACTACTTTCTCTTTTGATGTGATAGTGAATGGAGGCAGGTTGTCTTTTTCCAAAGTTTCTAGAGGCCTAACATAGGATGATCCTTTATCTTCTTTGGCTTTTATTTTGGTTATGGAGGGCTTGAAACAAATTACTTCTCAAGGCAAGGGATCTTATATATTTAGAAGGGTGAAAGTAGCGATGGAAGGAGAAGACGTAGAGGTTATACACTTATTCTTGAGAGATGACATTCAGTTGTTTTTGAATCGGAGCCTAGGACATCCTAAATATAAAATATGATTTGTTGAGCTTTCAAAGCTGTTTCCAGCCACAACATTAACATGGTGAAATTAGACTTACTTCAGTTGAGGGTTTGCAGGAAAACCCCCCGTGTCACATGCTATTTCTCAGCAGTATCCTTTATATCTGAAGAAGTGATGTGAAGGGTGAGATTCACAATCTTTGCAAGCAGAAATTATGACATCATAGCAGTACAATATCACGCAGAGTATATACACAGGCAATATAATTTTTCACAAGTATCAAATCATATATATTATATACTATTCTGAAATCAGAGTTCGCATTACTGCATTGTACAATGAGGCACAACTTCATCATTATTATGGAGGGCACAACATATGATCATCCAGCTATATTATGAATAGGCACAGGTTACCGATAAGACTTGACTCCCAACCACTCGCATATATGGGCACAACTGACTCGCCCCGAAACATGGAAATGGCGGGGCACAACAGATTTCTATTATAATAAGGGTAGGAATGGAATGCCAATAAAGCCGGACTCCCCCCAATAATAAATAATGAACACAAATCAAAATTCATTTTTGAAAACAAATTGGCATAATAATATGCATAGTAATTTTCGAAATTAATCTATATTTATACATTTAGTTATACTAAAAATATTCAAAAATATTTATGCACTAATTTTGTCATAATAACCAATTAGCTTCGGTCATAAGAAAACTTACTCCAAACTTTCCCTCCTTTAGCTTATCTATTACTCGGATAAAATCTCTTCTATAATTTTCTCAATTTCTTACTGAAATTTTGGAACATCTCCCCTTAGAATCCTCATCATTTGGACTCAAGAAAATCAAACCTAATCTCAAACCATGTCTTAAGGAAAACATGAAACTGAATCACATACCTCTTTTGGGTACTTCTCTTTCTTCCCTCGATTTTAAAGCTTTTTTTTTCTCCGGGACTTTTGGTAGAGTTTCGAGATGATTTTTTAGCTTTTTTTCTAGAAATTTTGGAGGAGTTCCGGGATGATTTTGGCCTCTTTTTTACCCCAAAAATCACGTCTGTTCCCAAAATTTGTCCCAAAAACAAAGTAGAAACCGAATCAAAAATCAAAGGAAAAAGGCTTACCTTGCTTCTTAGTTTGCTTCCCTTTCCTCACTCTTTTGGCTTCCTTCTTTTTTTTCTTCCTTCCTTTTTCTCCTTCCTTGCTTCCCCTTCCTTTCAAAATTTCTCCAGAATTTCCCGCAAGATTTCTTGATTTTCCTCTCACAAATCTCACAATTTAACTCTTTTTTCCTCTCCCTCACCCTCTCGGCTTTCTGTCTTTCTCACTCTCTTTCTTTGCTTGCTTTTCAACTTTTCATGCTTCTTTCCTTTCCCTCCAGCCCCCTATTTATAGGAGGTGAGGGCCCAAGAAAGTCGGCCAAGAGCTGGACACTTGGCAAGCTGAAAAGTTCCCAAAAACTCACACCCGATGCCACATGCTTGCTTCTTCACCGCTTCCTCTTGGCTTGCCACCTAGCTGCCCATTTCAGGATGTTTTCCGGCTGCCTCCTCCTTCACCTCTTCCATAAGCGGCCACCTTTCAAATGGTTCAGGTCTCACTCCGATTGGACCCCATTTGGTCCACCCCTTGCTCATGTAAAGACACCTCACTCACACCACATGCTTCCACCTCTTCCACCTTTTCAAGCTAGATCCTAGGTGTCCTATTCTTCTCCAAATTTTGCCATGCAACTCCTAGTTTCACCTCCTTGATGTTATCAAGTCCCAACCAATAGTATTTTGCCATTTGGTTTGGGTTTTGCTCAAGAGAAAACAAGATACCCCAGAGGAAGCTTATCGGGGGAAAATTTTTCTTCTCTCTCGGATTTCCATATTTCTCTCCCATTTTTCCTTCTACCAAAATTTTTCTCATTGTACATTTCTTTTTTCTCACATGTTAACTTGTACTTCCTTGAATTTGAGCTTCAAATTTCATCAGTTTTGGCATTGAGAAGAAATTTTATCCCAAATGTCATTTTGAGGCTTCTCGGAGGAAAAGTTTTCTAAGGTCTCGGTTTTCCATATTTTTCTAAACACTTATTCATACTTAAGTCAATCATACCAAATACAAAAAGCAAAGTAGGGATTTTTGGGCTATCACAAATGTGATAACAAAGTTTATTTGGATAATAATATGATTAAATATATGTTTTCATGATTCTCTTGTTTTGCCACATTGCAGACATTGCATTGTCTTCTTCAAAAGGAACGAAATACACATGATAGTGAAGTTTGTTTGCTTATGATTGACAGGTTCGTGTTAGGATTTGTAAGTGTTTTAGTTCAGCATGATTTGTCTTTTTTTTTGGTCAACTGTTTATGTTCTTTTAATTTCATTGTGATTCCAAGCTTATTTATGGAAGTCAAAGGTCTATTTGCTACTAAGTATGATAGTTTAGTTAATGTTAAAGAAATAATAAATTAGGTTAAATGATATAAGGGTAAAATACACTATATGTAATTTAATTGTTTATTTCCTTTTCCATCTTAAAAAACTTATATATGTAAAGTTGACATTTAATAAAATACACATCAAATAATTGTTAATATGGTATGAAAGCCCTAAAGTAAGAAATCTTATACTATTTTACAAATTCTATTAAGTCTTTATTTTCGAAATAAGAATAAGAAATCTTATACTATTTTACAAATTCTATTAAGTCTTTATTTTCGAAATAAGAAAACTCTGAAGGCCTGCAACACAACTCTACCTGTTAGCCACCACAATCCTAGCTGCTGGGGGCCACAAATCGACCATCTTACCATTAGCGAACATCATAGTCGACCATTTCTACCAAGGCCAACCTTCATCACTAGATCCAATTTGTCTAGACGTGCACAACCCAGTCGGGATTGTTCAGTCGTGTAATCTGTCCAAACGCACAACCGTAGCCGCCACCATCTGCTCATCCCTTGGCTACGATCGCCTCTCAGTCACATAGTTCGCTTAGACACGCAGCCCTATCGCCACCAAGGGATGTTTGATAAAGATGACATTACTTGTGATCAATGTGACATAATGGGTATTAGAGATGACACGGAGCGGGGGAGCGGGGGGGAGTTAATTTTCGTACTTGCCTTGTAAAAATAAAAATCTATACTCACCCCCAATACTGAAAGCAGACAAGAGTTTTATTACCTTCCATCTGCCCTACAGGTAAAACTTTTCACCTGCCACTCATTAGATAAATAATTAATACTTAATTAAAAAATTATAAATGTTAATCAAAATAAAATATAATTTAACATAATTTACTCAATAAAAAATATAAAATAACATAATAAATATATAATATTAAACATTTATTACTTAAAATTTGATTAATTTGATAGAATTAAAAAGAGAGTTCAAAATTTATTAATTATATATATTGGGGCACTGTAGATGCGGGATGGGTACATTTAATCGATATCCGTCTTGTACCCATTTTGGGTTTGTAATTTTATAATCAACACTTGTCTCTTATCTTGTTAGTTATGAGTTTTTACCTATCCTGCTGGATTAATAGGTAATCTACCCTTACGCCATTTCTACCAGAGAGAGTTGTTGCAAGCTTAAGGGCAAAGCAAATAAAAGTAATGAAGGAAAGCGGAATAACTTTGGATGATCCAAAGCAACTTATTGAGACTATTAAACAACATTCTTAAGAGAAATCTCTAACATTAAGAGTTTTTTAGATGAAGAGATACAAAATCTTAAATGCTTCTTATTACAACTTGAATCTCACTCATAAATAGGAGTATCCTAAAACTTTTCAAGTCATATATGTCATTTCTTGCCAATCTAAAAAAATTTGATATAAACTATAGATTTAAGAGCTTCTAACCATGTGATCTTCAGATGATGACAAAGTTTGCATTTCAAACGGATCTTTATCAAATATCATTAATAAAATTTCTATCATTTATACACTTTTTATTTAACTATCTAATATCTTGCATGTTTCTTATTTTCCTAATAACCTGTTTTTTATAAGTGTCTTCACAAATGATCTTAAATATGAAGTAGAACTCTGTCCTACTCATTGTGCTTCTTTGTAACTTAGAAAAAAGAAAATGATTGGCTGTGGTAAACTGCAATCAACCTCCATGTGTTTAAGATAAGTAAAAATTCTCTGATCCTTCTAGTACTTGAGCTATGGTTAGAGAATCAGTATCTAGTAATAATTTATCGTACCGTATAAGAGATTACATCATCCATCATGTACTGTTTTCAAAACCATTTATCATAGTATGTTTCAAAATTGCTATTCAGACTTGTTGGTCTGTGATGCATTTGAATTCGAAAACACTCAAGAATCTCTTATCCTATAGTTAATAATAAAGGTTATGTTCCTTTCATAACTATTAATTGGATGTACGGGTTTCTACTGAAACTTTATCGTTATCTGGTTATAAATGGTTTGTTATTTTTATTGATTATTACACAAGAATGACTTGGGTTTATTTGTTGTATACAAAAATTGAAGTTTATTCCTATTTCGAAAAATGGTTTGCTTTGACAATGACATGGTCGATATGGAGGTATCTTTTTTGAATATATTGACCTCCAGGGAATAGTGTAGCAGACTAGTTGTGATCATACTAGTACACAAATGAGGATGCTGAGAGAATGGATGGGCACTTTACTAGAAGTTACTACAACCCTCATGTTTTCTATGCATGTCCTATACCTTATTGGGGGATGCAATCTTAATAGCAACCAGTCTTATTAATTGGATATCATTACAAACATTGGGTTCTAAAAGTTCCTTGGGAGTTTTGCCAGGAACTAACTCTTCTACAGTCTCTCCTAGGGTCTTCTACTATGTTTATTTATCCTATAACAAGAAAATAAAAAATCTGAATCCTGAGAGAGTCCTAGAGAGGGAGATTCGTAGGGGAGATTGCTTTAACACCATTAGTGTGGGGTCACAATGACAACGTTGATTAAGGGACATGAACACAGGAATGAGAAAATTCTTGCCGGTAGGGCAGAAGTCTTTTGATGTGGTTGGAGGAGAAGGGGTGAGGATTTACAAA